GCAATTGCTCTTGCTAAGAACCCTGTGTTGCATGGACTCACAAAGCACATGAGGGTGAATTGGCATTGGACGAGGAGCATGGTGACCGCGGGTGAAGTTGAGTTGCGGTACGTGAAGACCACGGGGCAGCCAGCTGACAAGATGACTACGAGGCTGGTGGAGCAGCAGCATTGGAAGTGTTGCAAGCTGGCTGGGATGGCTCTGAACTGAGAGAGAAACATATCCTAAGGACAACAAACCGAGGGGGAGTTTGTTGGTGCAACCCTACTGTTTGCACTCGGCTTGTTGTCCGTGTGCGTGCATGTGTGTGTGTATGGAATGGTATGAGGGCATGGGATAATATATATTTCATGCTTATAATTGTGTGTGAATGTTGAGTCATGATGTCGAGTGTGTGTGTCGAGTCAATAGCGAGTTATCGCTAGACGCGTGTTACGCGGTCGTTTGTGTCCCGCGCGCGGTTTTTATTTTGTCGTGCGCGGTTTCTATTTTGTCCTGTGTCGAACGTTCGGCGTGTCGCAGGTGTGTGCAGAAGACCCATCAAGAACTCAAGGATGAGTTTGTGATGAAGAGCCTGAGCCTTGGTGTCAAGCCTCAAGTGATTTCGAAGCTCGCCAAAAGGGTGCACCTCAAGATATTGAAGATAGTTACATTACTTTGTGTAGTGTAACATTTCACTTGGTGTAGGCCCTAGTGAAGGGTAGTTTCGAGACCCTTCGTGGTTGGGGACAGTGTGGCACTGTTTCACATCATTGTACCTCGGCTCTTGGGGTTTGTAGGAGCTGGGAGTCATTCCCAACTCGTAACTCTTCCTAACTCTTCCTATCTTGTGTTCTAAGACTATGTTGCTGCCATAGTGCCGTTCGTTCAAACCAATGTTGTGTCGTCCGTTCTTAATGAAAGCGTGCGATTTAAATTACCTATTGTAGGGGACGTTAAGGCGCTCCAGATCCAAGTTGAATGAAGTCATTTGGAGCTATGAGCAGATCGCTATGAACGTTTGAAGCCGCTGTGCAGAAATCCGACTGTGCACTCTATCTTTCGTTTTAGGCACATTGGAGCCTACTGTGACAATAACATAAACAAACTGTAGCAGATATAACATTTGACAGTTGGTGGAGCAAGAAGCAGGTGGACCAAGTTTTGAGCACGGTGGAGTCCGAGTACATGGCGCTTTTCTGTGCCGTACGGAAGATTGTGTGGCAGCCGCGTTTGTTGGCTGAATTGGGGGAGGAGCAGCAATGACCTACCCCACTCTATTGTGACCGCCAGGGTGCCATAGCACTTGCTAAGAAACGTGTGTTGCATGGCCTCACCAATCACATGAGGGTGAAATGGCATTGGACGAGGAGCATGGTGGCCGCGGGTGAAGTTGAGTTACAGTACGTGAAGACAACGGGGCAGCCAGATGACATGATGACCAAGAGGCTGGCAGAGCAGCAGCATTGGAAGTGTTGCAAGCTGGGATGGCTCTGAACTTAGATATCCAGATTGTAAGGCCAACAATCAGAGGGGGAATTTGTTAGTGCAACCCCATGGTTGCACTCGGGTTGTTGTCCTTGTGCGTGCTTGCGTGTGTGTGCATGGAATGGTATGAGGGCATGAGATAACATATATCTCATACTTAAAATAGTGTGTGAATGATAAATCATGATGTCGAATATATGTGTCGAGTCAATAGCGAGTTATCGCTATTCGCGTGTCACGTTATCGTTTGTGTGTCGTATGCGTTTTCTATTTTGTTGTGTGTCGAACGTTTGGCGTGTCGCAGGTGCGTGCAGCAGACTTTCAAGAACTCAAGGATAATTTTATGGTGAAGAACCAGAGCCTTGGTTTCAAGACTCAAATTATTCGAAGCTCACCAAAAAAGTAAACTTCAAGATAGTGAGAATAGTTACATTACAATGTGTTGTGTAACATTTCTCTTGGTGTAGGCCCTTGTGGAGGGAAGTTTCGAGACCCTTTGTTGTTAGGTACAGTGTGGCACTGTTCCACATCATTGTACTGGGGCTCTTAGGGTTTGTAGAGGCTAAGAGTCATTCCCAGCTCGTATCTTGTGTCCTAAGAATATAGTTGCTACTACTCCGCCGTTCGCTCAAACGACTCTTAGGTCATCATTTTTTCATCAAGTCAAGTAATTCAAATTGCTAATTGTAGGCAACATCAAGAAGCTCTAGATCCAATTCATAGAAGTTTGTTGAGTGCTCTGAGCAGAACGTTATCAATGTTTGAAGCCGCTCTGCCGAAATCTGTCCGTGCACTCTATTTTTTGTTTTAAGCACATTAAAGCATATTGTGACTATAACACACTGCCTGCTCTTGCTCCTTACACTGAGGTGACAGAGTCTTTGACTAAGCATCGCGAGCCTGAGTCTCATCCTGCCTCGCGTGTTCGCACTCTTCGTCGTGCTCGTCGTCCTCGTCCTCCACCACTCCCCAGCACACACAATATGGCACTTCGTCCACATCATGTTGCTCTGCCGTCTCCTCCGGAGTCCTCTCTTCCTGACGTTCCTGACCTTGAGTCCGACCTTGCTCGTACTGCTAGTCCTACTGTCATGCGTTTCCTGGCCATCCTTCTTACTGGCCCTTCCTTAAAGTCTACTACTCCATCTGCCTTAGTCACTGAGCTTGTTGACTTCGCTGCTACTTGTCGTCTTGACTACTTTGCGAGTCTTGTTACAGATTCTGAGTCTGATTGTCCTCTGCCCTTGGCTGTGACGTCCTTGAGGACACACAGTTTGAGCTCGAGTGCCTTGCGGCTGCTGTTCCTCATCTCGCTACCATGTTGCTTGCCCCAGAGGGAGACCCAGATGCACTGGACATCCCGACCTTGCGCTCTTACACAGAGGCGATTTTGGGTCAGTACTCCCCTCAGTCGCAGACAGCCATGGACGCAAAGATGGCTTCCTGAAAGTCCAAAGGCACCTACGTCGACGAGGTTCCCCCTCCTAAGGCGAACATAGTCAATGGCATGTGATTTTTAAGGTGGAGCGGTCGCCGGGTTCTCCGCCTGCCTTCAAGGTGCGTTACGTTGCACGAGGCTTCAGTCAGCGACAAGGGGTCGACTTCTTCCAGACCTTCTCCCCCACCGCGAAGATGACCAGTCTTCAAGTGTCAATGCACGTTGCGGCACAGGGTGACTACAAGCTCCACTCGCTTGACTTAGCACATCTTTCTTGCAGGGCAACCTTCAAGAGGAGATATGGCTGCGCCGCCCACCTGGCTTTACTGGGTCGTTTCATGAGGGTACCCAATGGATCCTTTGGAAACCAATCTACGGTCTCCGTCAGGTGCCCCGCGAGTGGCACGACACGCTGAGGACTACACTTGCGGCTCTTAGGATTGCTCCTTCGACTAGTGACCCTTCGCTGTTTTTGCGGACCGACCCTTCTCTGCCTCCATTCTACATCCGCGTGTACGTCAACGACTTGGTCTTTGCTACTGCTGACACTAAGGCACTGGCCCTTGTGAAGGCGGAGCTGCAGAAAAGACACACCTGCAATGACCTGGGTGAGCTGCGCAACTGTCTTGGCTTGCAGATCACCCGGGACAGAGCGTGGCACACCATCACTCTTACTCAGTCACACATGGTGCACGAGGTCCTTCAGCGCTTCGGCTTCAAGTTCTCCTTGCCACTGTCCACTCCTCTTCCTATAGGCCACTTGCTCTCAACTCCACTTTTGGACGAATCCGTAGAGCCTAGTGGTCAGTACCCAGAGCTTGTGGGCTGTCTCATGTACCTGATGAATGCACTAGACCTGACCTCGCATACCCTTTCAGCATCCTGGTGTGCTACGTTGCGCCCGGGAGATACCGACCACAACACTGGCGGGCTGCTAGGAGGGTGCTGCGTTACTTGTGGAGTACGTCAGGCATGGGGCTTGTGCTTGGAGGACGGGGCTCAGTTGTGCTCACAGGACACTCAAACGCTTCTTGGGCCGACGACCAGGCGACTCAGCGGTCATCACAGGGTTACACTTTCAGTCTCGGCTCTGGTTCCGTCTCCTGGAGGTCCACCCTCTCGTCTTTTGTTCTTAGCTCCAGTTGTGAGGCTGAGATCTATCTGAGGGCCATGGTTGCACAGGAGTTACGGTGGCTAACCTACTTGTTGACAGACTTGGATGAGCGACCTCGTTCTACTCCGGTTCTGTACGTCGACAACAAGGCCTCGATTGCCTTCTGTTGGGAGCAGAGACTGGAGCACAGAACAAAGCACATTGCTCTTCGTTACTTCCTCACTTGAGAGTTACAGCAGCGTGGTCAGATTTGCCTTGCTTACATGGCCTCACGGGCCAACACTGCTGGTATTTTCACCTAGGCGCTTGTGTCTGGTGATCATCAGCGTTTCTGCACTTCTCTCAGCCTAGTGTTTACTTTGCCTCATTTGCTTACCGCTTGACTTTGCCTTGCTTTGTGATCTATATATTTACCTACATGCTTATTCTTGCTATGTTGTGTTCACTCTACTGCTTGTGCTTTTATAGCTGTGCATGTGAACTGGTTTGTGGCCACTTGCTTGTACTTGGACTGGGTGGTGACTTTGTGATCCACCCTGAGCTTTGTTTTGTTGCTTGTCTTGACTAGTATTGTGACCATTGCTTGCTCTAGCTATCCCTCACTTCGCCTACGGGGGTATGCCAGAACATATTTCTTGATTGTCTAGGCTGTAGTAGGATAGCCCATTAAGGGTTCAGCCCATTAGGGTTAGTAACTGTACTCCCCATTGCTGACAGTTTGAGCATGTGCGCACGGAGCTCTGGTACAAGCCCAACCCTGACCTCTGTGCGCGCATGATCAACTGCCTGGGGCTGGCCAACCACATCACCGACGCACAGGCACTCATCCATGCCACAATGTAGGAGGACGGCGTGCCGCCCTGCTCGCCCACCTACACTGCTCTGCTTGCCGCTCACTGTCGCTCCGGGGACTACAGGAGCGGCCGAGAGATGCTAGGGACGATGAGGGAGGTGGGGGCAGGGCTGTATGACTTGGCGTACATGATTTTGATCAAGACGTGTGAGGCGCAGGGGGGTGTGGGGGCAGCAGCAGAGCTGAAGCAGGAGAGGGATGAGGTGCTAGAGGAGTAGGGGCAGTTTGGGTTGCCTAAACCCCCTTGCCGCTTGAAGAAGAATTAGGCCGGGTTGCTTGCATTCCTCCCGTCCCGTGCAATGATGGTTGTGTTAGCTCGGTGTTTCATGCAATTGTCTAAGGCAGTCAGATGATGATGTTGACAAAAGAGTGGTAGCTCCCGTGGATAAAGAAGAATTAGCACAGTTTTTGCATGGATTGGTTTTGGAAGGTCAATCAGCAGGTTAGGGATTCCTGTATTCAAGGGGCATGGCTAGAGATTACATTATAGTAAATAAAAAACCTTGTGAGTATCCCTTAGCCAGGTGCTTTGAAACAAGTCTCTACTCTACAATTCCTTAAAACAATACTGGTATTGTATCTTAGAAATGCCGTACTAGCATCTCCGACCATCTTGGTACATGGGTCTTCCCCAACAAAACCCTGCAGCAAATCTAGCTAACTTGAGTACGTTCTTTGTGCCCGCTCCCTTGCCATCCCACTATGTACTCGCCCCTTTCGCATGCACCTGCAAGCATCACTTCAACTCCACCGAGACCAGTACTCTGTCAAAACATATTTGTGTGGTCTTAGTTATGCTAGGCTACAGTGAGGTGCTCAGTATAAGGTACAACCCTAGTTAGGGTTTCATACTTGTATCTCCCTGTTGCTAGTCATTTATCATTCCTATCTTCCTACTTTAACATGGTTTCAGAGCATGATCGTTCCTAGGGCCCACCGAACGTTCCGCCTCGCCCTTTCCGTAAAAGTTTTCAACCCTGCCCTTAGGCCCACGCGCAGCCCTGCGCTGCCCTGCCCTTAGGCCCGCGCGCCGCCCTGCCCTGCAGCCCGCGCTCGCCCCTGCAGCCCGCACTCGCCCCTGCAGTCCGTGCTCGCTCCTGCAGCCGTGCTTGCCCCTGCAGCCCGCGCTTGCCCCTGCAGCCCGCGCTTGCCCCTGCAGCCCGCGCTCGCCTCTGCAGCCGCGCTTGCCCCTGCAGCCTGCGCTCGCCCCTGCAGCCTGCGCTCGCCCCTGCAGCCGTGCTCGCCCCTGCAGCCTACGCTGGCCTCTGCAGCCTGCACTCGCCCCTGCAGCCCACGCTCGCTCCTGCTGCCCGTGCTCGCCCCTGCAGCCGCGCTTGCCCCTGCAGCCCGCGCTCGCCCCTGCAGCCCGCGCTCGCCCCTTCAGCCACTCTCGCCCCTGCAACATGTGCTCGCCCCTGCTGCCCGCGCTCGCCTCTGCAGCCCGCGCTCTCCCCTGCAGCCACGCTCGCTCCTGCAGCTACGCTCGCCTCTGCAGCCGCGCTTGCCCCTGCAGCTGCACTCGCCCCTACAGCTGCGCTCACCTCTGCAGCCCGTGCTCGCCCCTGCAGCCGCGCTCGCCCTTGCAGCCCGCACTCGCCCCTGCAGCCCGCACTCGCCCCTGCAGCCGTGCTCGCCCCTACAGCCCGCGCTCACCCCTCCAGCCGCACTCGCCCCTGCAGCCCGCGCTCGCCCCTGCAGCCCACGCTCGCCCCTGCAGCCCTCCTTGCCCTTAGGCCCGCACGCTGCCCTGCCCTGCAGCCCGCGCTCGCCCCTGCAGCCCACCCTGCCCTTAGGCGTGCGCGCTGCCCTGCCCTGCAGCCCGCGAGCTGCGATGCCCTGCCCTTAGGCCCGCGCGCCGCCCTGCCTTGCAGCCCGCGCACTGCGCTGCCCTGCCCTTAGGCCCGCACGCCGCCCTGCCCTTAGGCCCGCATGCCGCCCTGCCCTTAAGCCTGCGTGCCGCCCTGCCCTTAGGCCCATGCGCCTCCCTGCCCTTAGGCCCGCGTGCCGCCCTGCCCTGCAGCCCGCACGCTGCCCTTAGGCCTGCGCGCCGCCCTGCCCTTAGGCCCGCACGCCGTCCTGCCCTTAGGCTCGCTACTGTGCTGCTGCTACTGCTGCCACCTAAGCTGCTGCTGCCGCTTGCGCTACTACTGCCAACTGACTGCCATTGCCTGTCATGGCCACCATCACGGTTGTAGCAGCGTTTAGGGGTGGACTGCGGCATCCACTGCCTCACCCGGACACTCTATCGCCACACCAGCTTTGTAATGGGTTATTCAGCGAGGCTGCTCTGGTCCTGGAGCTTGGGATTACTTGCGTACAGGCGGTACTGGACAGCAGCAACGCGTCTCTAGTGGTGTCGGTGCTGCTGCTCTAGGTGCTAGTGGGTTTGCTTCCACTCTAGATGCTAATGCGTCTGCTGCCACATGTGCTAGTGAGTCTGCTGCCTCAGCTAAGGCCTTGCACACTTTCACACTGGACTCAGGAGCGTCACGTTTCTTCTTTCGTGATTGCACCACAGTCACACCGCACGCAGCACCTGTCCCAGTCTCACTAGCTGACCCCACTGGGGGCCCAGTCGTAGCGCGAGCCTTCACTGTCCTCCCGTGTCCGGCAGTCCCCTCCGGCTCTCTTTCAAGCCTCCACCTCCTCGTTCTCGATGAACTTGGTGAGCAACGCAGTGCTTCAGGATGTCTGGGTTGATACCTTTATCCCTGGAGGGCAGCGTGTGGCGATCTGTACATGCTCCCGGATTGGACGTCACCTTGCTACGTTCACTCGGCAGCCTGGGGCCAGTATGTACACCCTGACCACTGCGTTTGCATAGGTGGTTGCGTCAAGTCAGGTGGCTGCGTCGAGTCATGTGTCTGTGTCTGGTCAGTTCGCTGCGTTGTGCTCGTGTCGGGTACTCTCCCATCAGACTCTTCTCCGGCACCACCGACTCGGTCACCCCTTTCTGCCGTGTCTCCGCAGCATGCACTCCCGTCTCCTTGTCTTTAACCTTCCCAGGTCCCTTGCTCCCCCTCCCACGCTTACCTGCCCCGCCGTGCCTTCCCTGCATTGAGGGGCGGCAGCGCGCCCCTCCTCACTCCTCGTTTCCTCCGACCACTGCTCCTCATGGACGTGTGGGGCCCGGCCCCGGTCAATGGGATGGACCAGGAGCGCTACTTCCTGATGGTTATTAAAGACTAGATGCGCTACACCACGGTCTTCCCCTTGCGCAGCAAGGCGGCCGTCAGCGGTGTTTTGATCCCCTGGATCCACACTATTTGTCGCCAGCTGCGCGATCGGTTTCGACGGGACCTTCCGGTCCTATGTCTGCACTATGACGGTGGCGATGAGTTCTCTTCCGGCCTACTTGCGGGGTTCTGTCGTGACGAGGGCATCATCCAATCGTTTACGCTAACGGCCTTGCCGCAGCAAAATGAGATTGCTTAGCATCGCATTGGCTTGATTACGGAGGCACCATAATCCATGATCCATGCGGCTGCTCCCCATTTTCTGTGGTCGTTTGTGGTCCAATACACCGTGCATCAGCTCAACCTCTGGCCCCATGTCTCTTTGCCAGAGACCTCGCCTACACTCCATTGGATGGGAGAGGTTGGCGATGCATCAGCGTTTCGGTTTTGGGGCGCGCTCTCCCTTGTTTCCAATACCACCGCGAGCAAGCTCTCTCCTCGCACTCTCCGCTGCACCTTCCTTGGCTTCCCCACTCACGCCTTGACGTGGCAGTTTTACCACCCTCGCGAGCGTTGCGTGTTCTCCTCACAGGAAATCACCTTTGATGAGTCTGTCTGTTTCTACAAGCTCCACCAGCACGCGTCCCACCTGGACCCCTGGCGCCTCTCTTTCCGGTACCAGTTCCCCCCCCCGGTATACCCCCTCCCCCCATAGGATCATGCTCCCTCAGGTGTGTCTCAGGTAGACCCACCCCCATTGGTTGAGCCTCTGGAGATCTCTTCTGACTCCTCTGGCCCCGCTGAGAGGGGTGACCCCGCCGTTGACGGCACGTCGACCACTCGCCGCTCTCCACGCTTCTAGACCCCTCCTGGTTTTCCGCCTCGACCGTCTTCGCCACCTTTGTAGCCTGTAGTTGTGGACACTGGTGCTGCTGGGGGTGGTGATACTGGGCATGAGGGTTCTGGGGGTGCTGAGACTGGAGGTGCTGGGACTGGGGGTGAGGGTTCTGGGGGGGCCGATTCGGGGGGTGCTGACTCTGGGGGTGGTGCGAGTCCTAGTGGTGGTGGGACCGTGGGTGTTCCTACTGCAGGTCCTGACGTTGGACAGCAGCACCCGCCTAGTCGACTCGAGACGCCCTCACCGCAACAGCTTTGTGAGTGGGTCATTCGGCGAGGCCGCTCTGGTGCTAGAGCTTGGAGTTTCCTAGACGTTGGAGCTGCTGGTGCTGGAGGTACTGATGGAGGTGCTGCTGATGCTGGAGCTGCTGGTGCTGGAGGTACTGCTGGAGGTGCTGCATGTGTTGGAGTTGCTGGTGCTGGAGGTGCTCGAGGTGCTGCTGGTGATGGAGGTACTACTAGAGCTGCTGGTGCTGGAGGTGGTGGAGGTCGCTGGAGCTGGAGGTACTGGAGATCCTGGAGGTGCTCGTACTAGAGGTGATGGAGCTGACGGAGCTGGTGGTGCTGCCGGTGGTGCAGCTGGTGCTGGAGGTGTTGGAGGTGCTGCTGGTGCTGGAGGCGCTAAAGCTGTAGGTACTGGAGGTGTTGGAGCTGCTAGTCCTGGAGGTGCTTGTACTAGAGGTGCTGGAGCTACCGGAGCTGGTGGTTTTGCTGGTGCTGGAGGTGCTGCTGGTGCTGGAGGCGCTGGAGCTGGAGGTACTGGAGGTACTAGAGGTGCTGGAGATGCCGGAGCTAGTCGTATTGCTGGTGCTGGAGGTGCTACTGAAGGTGCTGGAGCTGGAGGTACTGGAGGTGCTTGTGAGAGTACGACGGCTTATGCTGGCTTTACTAGCTTACCTAAACTTTATTATGCTATTACTAGCTTGGATTTTATTTATCATGCATAGATATGCTTGATTTCCTAGGTTAGGTGCATTCCTACCTCAGAACATTCGCGTAACACCTGGGTAACTGGCCTTGTGTCGAGACTATATATAGCCTTGTGTTGTACCCATGTGAATCAACTTTTGAGCTCGATCCTAGATCCTCACACTTGGTAATCCGAACCGTTTACACGCTGAGTTTTTTCGACCACTAAACCGAGTCTTCAAAAAACTGTGGTGTTAGAATCTAGCATAAGTGGTAGTTGAGATTTAAGTGGGGCCTAGGCTTAGTAGCCTAGGCCAAGAGGAAGTCGAGGGAATTGTGAAGGAGAAAGGATGTGTTCACTATAGGCTCAAAAGTACATATAGCAAACACAGCTAGCAAGGTGCACCACCAACAATGTAACACTACACTAACTATTGCTACAAGCAGTTTATATAAGAAATGTATTTCAACACACCCCCTAAACTGCTTGCAGCAAGAAGCCAATGCAAAGACACCCCCTGAAGGGGTACACCAAGTGTAGCAAAAGGAGAGAGCAAGTGAGGAGGAGGAGGCGGGACTGTGAGAGGAGTGGAGATGAGAGGCGACGACGGAAGCTGCAGACACACGGCGCAGCTGGAGCAACTGGCACACAGGCAACAGGAACAACAGGCACACTGGCAACTGGAGCAATTGGCAGACGGGCAACTGGAGTAACGGGCTCCGCGGCTAAACAAGCGGCAGGAGCAACTGACCCACGGGCGACTGGAGCAACGGGCTCACGGGCGACTGGGGTGACGGGCTCACAGGCGACTAGCGCAACGGTCTCACGGGCGACTGGAGCTACTGGCTTCACGGAAGCCACCTCCACTCAACCTCAACCACTTGTCCCACACTCATCACCCCCACACCCGCCACCCCCATACCTCTCACATTCATCACCCCCACACCCGCCACCCCCATACCCACCCCCCCACGGCAACATTGGATCTAGGAGCGGCTGCTGCAGTGGCAGCTGCTCCAGGGGCAGCTGCTGCAGCGGCGGCTGCTCCACGGGCGGCTGCTGCTGGGGCCGCTGCTCCAGGGGCCGCTGCTGGAGAGGCGGCTCCAGGGGCGGCTGCTGCAGTTGCGGTTGCTCCAGGGGCGGCTGTTGCAGTTGCGGTTGCTCCAGGGGCGGCTGCTGCTGGGCGGCTGCTCCAGGGGTTGCTGCTGCAGTGACGGATGCTCCAGGGGCGGCGGCTCCAGGGGCGGCTGCTGCAGCGGCGGCTGCTCCAGGGGCGGGTGCTGCTGGGGCGGCTGCTGCTAGAGTGGCTGCCCAAGGGGCTGCTGCTGCAGTGGCGGCTCCAAGGGCGGCTGCTGCAGTGACGGATGCTCCAGGGGCGGCGGCTCCAGGGGCGGCTACTGCAGCGGCGACTGCTCCAGGGGCGGCTGCTGCTGGGGTGGCTGCTCCAGGGGCGGCTGCTGTTGCAAGGCAGGCCCGCGCGCTGCTGCAAAGCAGGCACGCGCGCAAGGGAGGCAGAGGCGGCGGCTAGGGGGGGGGGGGGGGGGGGCGCCGCGACGAGCAGGTGGCGGGGCCGGGAAGGGGGGCGACGGGGCCGAGAAAGGCGGCGACGGGGCCGAGAAAGGCAGCGACGGGGCCGCTAGAGGCGGCAACGGGGCCGCTAGTGGCGACGACGGGGCCGAGAGGGGGCCTCAAGGGGCCGAGAAGGGGCGGCGACGGGGTGGCAAAGGGGCCGCGAAGGGCCGAGAAGGGCGGCGGCGAAGCCGTTAGGGGCGGCGACGGGGCCGCAAAGGGGTTGCGAAGGGGCCGCGAGGGTATGGGCGGGCAGAACAGGCCCGCGCAAAGATGTGGGGCAGGCGCACATGC